GCTGATGCTATTGAGTTATGGCACAAGAGACTTGGGCACTTGAGTGAGAAGGGACTTCAAATCCTTAGCAAAAAGGAACTCCTACCTGGCTTTACAGGTAATCTTTCTAAAACCTGTGCTGATTGTTTAGCTGGCAAGCATCATAGAGTTTCTTTTCACACTTTACCCTTGTCTAGAAGAAAATATGCACTTGATTTGGTTCATACTGATGTTTGCTTCATGAAAGATAAAAGTCTAGGTGGTGCTACATATTTTGTGACTTTTGTGGATGATTTTTCTAGAAAATTGTGGGCTTATCCCTTGTCTAGTAAAGATCAGGTGCTGGAAAAATTTAAAGAATTTCAGGTAATGACAGAAAGAGAAACTGGGAGGAAATTAAAGTGCATCAGGTCTGATAATGGTGGTGAATACAGTGGACAGTTTGAGCGCTATTGTAGAGAACAAGGAATTAAGCTCGAGAAGACCACTCCTAGAACTCCACAACATAATGGAGTTGCTGAAAGGATGAATAGAACAATATGTGATAGAATTGTCTATATGCTCTCTCATGCTAAATTGCCAAAGTCCTTTTGGGGTGAGGCTTTGAAGACTGCAGTGTACTTGATAAATCGATCCCCTTCTATTGTTTTAAATGGTGATGTTCCGGAGAAGATTTGGTCAGGCAAAGAAGTATCCTACAAGCACTTGAGGGTATTTGGCTGCAGGGCATATGTGCATGTTCCAAAAGAGGAGAGAGCAAAGCTTGATGCAAAGACAAAATAGTGCATGTTCTTGGGATATGGTGATGAAGAGTATGGCTACAGATTATGGGACTTGAAAAACAGAAAATTAATGAGAACCAAAGATGTGGTGTTCATTGAGAATGAGACGGTTGAAGACTCAAAGAAGCAAGATGACAGCGAGCATACTCAAGAAATACCAGACAGTGATTATTGTACTCCAACACCTAAACCGAGTGTTATGAATGATGATCACAGTGAAGTAGATGAGCAGCAAGTTCAAGGGCCTGTTGTTGAACATTTTGTTGAAGAAGAAAGACATCGAGAAGAGCAAGTGCAACCACCACAGCAACCTCAAGTTAGGAGGTCCACTAGACTTCATCAACCATCTCGGAAGTACTCCACTGATGAGTATGTGCTCTTGACTGACGGGGGAGAGCCAGAAACTTATTATGAAGCTATGGAGAGTGAAAACAAGAAGGAATGGTCGATGGCAATGCAAGAAGAAATGAGTTCTTTGCAAGAGAATGGGACTTATAAGCTGGTAGAGCTTCCAAAGGACAAAAAGACTCTTAACAACAAGTGGGTTTTCAGAGTAAAGTCTAAAGTGAACAATCCCAATCCAAGGTTAAAAGCTAGATTAGTGGTGAAGGGCTTTGGACAACAAAAGGACATTGATTATGATGAGATTTTCTCACCAGTAGTAAAAATGCCATCTATTCGAGCTATTTTGGCTTTGGCAGCTAGCTTGAATTTAGAAATTGAACAGCTAGATGTTAAGACAGCTTTTCTCCATGGTGATCTTGAGGAGGAGATTTATATGAAGCAACCAGAGGGCTTTGAGGTGCAAGGCAAGAAGAATCTGGTTTGTAAATTGAAGAAAAGCTTGTATGGTCTCAAACAAGCTCCGAGGCAATGGTATCGTAAATTTGACTCTTTTATGGGGGAGCATAAATTCACTAGAACAGAATCTGATCATTGTGTTTATGTAAAGAGGTATCCAGATGGTGATTTCTTGATACTTTTGCTTTATGTGGATGACATGCTAATTGTTGGCCATGACACAAAGAAAATTGTAGCCTTGAAGATTGACTTGAGCAAGTCCTTTTCTATGAAGGATTTGGGTCCAGCAAAGCAAATTCTTGGACTGAAAATTTTTTGAGATAGAAAGAACAAGAAGCTGTGGTTGTCACAAGAAAAATATATTGAAAAGGTGCTTAATAGGTTCAACATGAGCAAAGCAAAACCTGTGGGCACTCCACTTGCTAGCCATTTCAAACTTATCACAGAGCTGTGTCCTGCAAGCAAGGAGGAAGCAGAATACATGAAGAATGTGCCCTATGCTTCTGCAATTGGTAGTCTAATGTATGCTATGGTATGCACAAGGTCAGATATAGCTCACGTAGTGGGGGTAGTGAGCAGATTTTTATCCAATCCTGGCAAGCAACATTGGGCAGCAGTTAAGTGGATTTTCAGGTATCTTAGAGGTACATCTCACATGTGCTTATGTTATGGTGAGCATGAATCTTTACTTAATGGCTATAGTGATGCTGATTTGGGTGGAGATTTGGACTCTAGAAAGTCCACTTCAAGATACTTGATGCTTTATGTAGGGGGAGCAATTTCATGGAAGTCAAAACTGCAGAAAAGTGTTTCATTATCCACTACAGAAGCTGAGTATATAGCTCTTTCTGAAGCAGGAAAGGAGATTGTATGGATGAAGACATTTTTTGAAGAATTGGGTCTTAAGCAAGAGAGATTTGTGCTGTTTTGTGATAATCAAAGTGCAATTTACTTGAGAAAGAACCCATAGTTCCATTCCAGAACCAAGCATGTTGATTTGAGGTATCATTGGATACGTGATGCAATTGAAGAAAAGGTGCTTGATGTTGAGAAAGTTCACACGGATGACAATAGCTCGAATATGATGACCAAGTCCTTGGTGAGAAGCAAATTTGAGTTTTGTAGATCACAAGCTGGCTTGGTGGAGCCCCCCAACTAGCTCGGGCGGGGGAGATTGTTGAGCTAGCCCTCCCAAGTTGGGTGGCTCAACAATGGAGGTGCACCTTGAGTGCATGCACATGGCAAAAACTTGGAAGGTTTGGTTTTGAAGATGAACAGTGGATCCCAACACGGACATTTCCAATTCTTGAAGAAAATGGGAAAAGCAAAGTGGACTCCTCCAACTTTGGATATGTTGACATGTTAGTCCTTGATAGGATAGTTTTACTACTCTTGTATCCAAAAGCTCCCTATTTTAACTCTTGTTTAAAATTTAAAAGAGTGCAGATTGGTGAGAGCGCAAAAATAGAGTGGGAAAGTAGTGTAGAAAAACAGAGTGAGGTTGAGAGAAAATCTCCCTTGTTGATGTTAGAAATTTGAGAGATTCGGATTGTGATCTGAAAATTGTAATCCATTTTCAGTAGTGGATTGATTTTTCATCTGGGTAAGTGCCTCTTGGTTTTTCCCATTTGGGTTTTCCACGTAAAAAATTCTGGTGTCCTCTTTATTTTACTTTGTTTGCTTATTCTGTTCTTGGGTGTTTGATTGTGTTGCTGATTGGTTTGATTCTGGGCATTGGACCATTAAAACCTCAACACTTGCCACTACAATCTTATCAAAAGTTTGGCTCCAAAGCGAAATTTCCTTCAAATGCCTCACATCCTGCTTCGGCCAAACCAATTTCTGTTCAAAAGCCCTATGGCACTCCTCATGCTGATTATGCTGAAACTTCTTGGTGGCTTGCTCTAGCTCATTCAAGACATCCATTTTATTGTACAAATTCGTGGTACAATTCACATACCTCTGCATCTTCCTCACCATACCCTCCATGTCTTTCACCAAGAACCCCAACTCCCTCACATCAATAACGCCATTTACAATATCCCCATACACATGCTCAAACCCCTGCAAAGCAAGTTCACAGCACTTCTTACCCAACATAGACACCACGCTTGCTACCCTGTTCAGTTCTTCCCGCTTCTCAGCCAAAACAAGCTCCATAAGATAATTTTCATCAGAGGAAACCAAATTACAGACACCCTTTGACTTCAAGATCTCATTCTTGAGCTTTGAGATCTTGGAATCGGTTAGAGACTTATAAAGGTGCACGTTTTGGACATGACATTGGCGACCTCGAAAGAGAGGATGCCAATGGTCTCGTGCTGCTTATTGGGGTTCTTCTTCTTCGAAGAATGTTCAAGAAGAAGTGCATGCTTCAGAGTGGCGCTTACTTGGTTACCCATTTTCACTATCCAAGCTTTTACGACCATTTCTGCCTTCTAATTCAAGATCTACAAAATTGGGTTGCCAATGACAAGAAGGTGCGAGAGCAGCGGCAGAGTCGACGATGAGCGGAAGTTACAATGGAGGCTTCATCGTTGTTGAGGTGCGGAGAAAATGCAGGGTTTGAAATTGAAATCCATGGGTTTAAGGATGAATTTGAAATACATGCATTTTAAGTCTTTCAAATACTCTAGGTAAAATAAAATACATGTATTTTACTTAAATGTAACTACATTTTAATTAAGTGAAAATAAACAGTGATATTGAATTTAAAGCGTTTAAATTCAAATACATTATGTGAAATTCATGTTCCCAAACAAAGTATAAGTGTATTATTTTCTTTTCTAATCTTATGCCGTTGACGACTGAAAAAAAAAGAAAAAGAAAAGAAAAATCTTAGGCTGATGTTTTGGTGTTTTTAATTGTACTAGAACTGAATTTTTTATTTTTGGTTTTATCTATTAATCCAAGAAATATATTCAGAGCATCTACATGACCAGATCATTCTACCGCGTTACAAATTAAAGTGTCAATATAAGTTAGGGGCATACAAGAAACTGCCTTTATGTATATAATGTACATGCTTTTTCCCTAAAGTTGTTTGCACTGCAAAGATTTGAGAGAATTCTGTTTCAATTTTGCATCATCTTCGCACGTGTATGGCTAAATTCAATTATTTGCCCTAATTAAAGCCGTATGTTCACTCTCCCAAGATTTCAACTAAACTCATTTTCTATTTTTACAAACAAGAAAGAGTTATGTAGTATAGAGTATTTTAGGTTACACAACTCTCAATATTAAAGAAGGATAAACTTCTTAATATTATGAGTTATCTCTTATTCAATAGTCTTGATTTTGTAATTCAATATTATATCAAACTTTTTTATAAAAGCACTTAGCTTTAAAAAAAAAAAAAGAAGAGAGACTTTGTTCATACATAAATGAATTTGAGAAACTTTGTGGGTCAAATTTCGCCACCTTTGGCCATGTTGGTGCAGACAGCTTGTCCACGAATCATTAATTCTTAACCTTCTTAGTAAAAAAAAAAGAAAAAAAAAAAGACAAGACTTATCCAATCAAATACTCAATGAACTTTAATTATTTGTTCATTATATATAACTACATATATTAATGACTCAAATAGTATAGTAATGGGGTGGCAATGGGTCCTTCGAGGCTGGGGAGTCCCTCGCTATCTCTGCTCCTATGAATGATAGGGATGAGATTTGTATGTGGATTTTTGATGGGGATAGATTTTGCCCCTGTCCTTGTTCCTTACAAGCCCCTGTCCTTGTTCCTTACAAGGAATGGGGATCCTCATTGCCCCATGCCCATGGTGGGAATCTCAATAGGGCCCTGCAACGATCGGGGGAAATTATTATCCCTATTTAGTAACAATCTTTTTTTGTTGGAAGTAAAAGATTATGAATTTAAGTTACATGGTATACACTATAGCGAAATAAGAGAAAATAGAGAATTATCTTTTATTGTGTAATTTAAGATAAAAAAAAAACCCTCTCCTATACTTTAGCTTCTATAGGAAAAGATTCTGCAGACCATAAGGCCACATTCACACCATGTGCCTTGATCTTTATTTAGAGAAACATGGTTTTTATAAAATAAAAATGAATGTGTTGTTCTCATTTTCTAACAAAGAAATGATATTTAAATTGAAAAATATAAAAAAATTGCACTTGGAGAGAAATTATTGGTAGCCCCTTGTGAAGAAGGGAATTGAAAATCTATTTGCCTTACCTGTTCATATTCGTGGACCACCCAATAAATTAATCATTATTTTTACAACAAGAACAGGCTAGGGAGCCTTACTAATTTTTTGTAGTTATAGAATACGAGATAATCGCTTTATCAGGGTGCATTTATGAAAACATTTATGAAAACTGAGTTTACTACAAGAATTACTAATATCATCAATTCATCACCAACAACATTTTCTTTTATTTATTTAATTTTTTTTTATTTTAAGATATAATGTGAGGTAACTTTCTCTTGTTCTTTAACTCATTTCATCCACATATCTATTATTTAAATTTAAAATTTGTTACTTCCACTGAATGCACTAAGCATTCCTCTTTATCTAAAATCAAAAAGTTTAGGGATGATACACCGGTACCTGCATCAAGTTTGGGGATTGATTTCTCACAACAGTTTATGTTCAGGTACTAAGAAATCATTTTAAGTTTGGATACTGATTTGTATGATTTGCCTATATACAATGCAGGATATCCCTGCATACCTCCAAAGAGAATTTTTATCAAAGCGCTCCTTAATTTGTTTCCGTGCTTAAGCCTCACATGTTCCCATTTGGTCTATTCAAAATTTTCAACGATGGCTCCGTTTGTCCATTCAATTTTCAAAGAATATTTCAATTTTGATGCATGTTCATATCAGTATTATATACCCACACATTGGGAAAATACTGGAAAATTTTCAAAGAGAACTCACTCACATGGGTCTTATTATTATTTTTTTCTTATCTAAAACGCCGTCCTTTTTTATTTGAATATATAATTTTGTAATTTTGTGCTCTAAAATCACGGTTCGATTCTCATCATTATTGGGATTTTAAGTCAGATTAATGAAATTAATTGAGTAGTAGTGATTGTTTCAATAAAGGGTTTGTATGGTTTGCTTATTGAAATTGAGTCTGCCTACTAATAGTGCATGGTTAGTTGGCAATTGTTGTTTTTCATTAGAACCTAAAGAAATGGAAGATGTAAACAATTTAAATAGTTTAATGATAATTTTTTTTATTAAAATTAAAAGATCATGAATTTAAGTCGTATGTCATATAAGTAAGATAAGAAAATAAATGAAAGAGTATGAGTCCCACTCAAACTCGATAATTTGCAGCAATATTTACAAACCAACTTAGCAGCCAATGAGGGCACATGCAGAGGAAACCGAAGCAATTAACGGTACCATCTTCTAAAAGGCGTAATCTACATATTATAATAAAACATAAACATATCCACGATGTCATGTTTATTCTTCAATCATGTTTGACAAAGAATGAAGGTTAGGGTTGTTAAAGCAACTACCATAGGAAAAGATTCCATGTGAATCCATATATTCTGCCGACACCATGGACTTTCTAGGTATGTCACGTTATCTTGTATATTATGCAATATGATATAACATTGAATGAATGAATGCATCAAATATTATAAGTAAATACTTGAATAAAAGAAGTTAATTATACATACCATATCACTATCAAGTCTTGTTGTATACCACATATTCTATAATAAACATTGTATCTTGTGCCTATAACTTTTTCCTTAATTATAGTACTCTTTTATATTTGATTTAGTTATCCTAATTTAATTTCGTATAGAGTTTGATTAAATAATTTTATATATAGAGATCAAAAAACATTTAAATTATCATTGGTTTACCATATAAATAAAATTATCAAGTTAATTTATATCAAATTGAATGATTAGGATAACTAAAAAAGATTGAAGAGATTAATTTTCATTTTGATATTGACTAGTTCTACTTGTTTTGAATTAGAGCAGTGCTAGGGGCACTCGCCTCTTGCACTCTCCGGCCAACACTTTCCTTTTCATTGGGCCACCTAAGCTTGTTTCAGGCTTCACAGTGCAACCACTTACAAACCAGAATAACGTGGCCCAATCAAAGTGGAAGTGTTGGCAGAGTGCAGGAGGTGCGTGCCCGTAGCACTCCTCTTTGAATTATTGATCAAAGCATCTTAATTAATGTATTATTTAAAGTCTATTTTTCTTGTCATTGGCCTTTACGGGTTGTGTGGGACTTTGATCTTGCGTTGTGAGTTGGTTAGCACATGCATGCCTTCTTTTCCTAAATGAACCATTTAGGTTTAAGGAGCCTTGGAGTTTGATAATGTAAATGTAAGTATAAAAGTAAAGACAAAATAAAGTAATTAGAAAATGATTGGTATATTTTTTATTCAATATACCTCACAACACTTATTGGTTCAATTATTAAAATTTATAATTTATAATTTTTTTAATTTTAATTCAAATTTGAGAATATTAATTTTTTAGTAAATATATTGTAAAGTGTGTTGAACTAAAATGTGTACCAATTATTATCCAAAGCATTTTACTTATGGATTAATTCATGTATTCATGTATTCACCAATTAGAGGTGGAAAGGCCTTTCAAAGTGTAGTGCCATGTTTTAGGTTGTTTCCTTCCTTTTCTTTACTTTTCTCATGATATGGTGTTGTTCTTCTTATGCAATTGTTGTTATTTTTTGATTTAGCATAGTTTGAATTACAAAGTAAGAATTTTTTAAAGATATTGCTTGAGTACACTCTTCAATTCAAATACACTACATAATACATTTATTGAAAAATTGTTATTTTTTTGTTATGAAATTAAAAATAGATAAATTTAAAAAATGTAATTATGTATATAAGATATAAGAATTGGCTAAATTGATTATATGTATTTATATTATATTTTAATATTTAAGTTGAGTAGGTGTGGAAAATTTGTCAAACTAAAATATATACCAATCATTTTCTATTCTATTAAGAATATTCATTTACAATATATTTGGTTTGAGAGGAATCAAAGTAAGGGGAGGGGAGGTGAGGGGAATGAAAGGATGCAACATTCTTCCATTTCCTCCCTTCCCCTCTGCTTGATAAGTACAAGAGTTAAAAACAAAAATAAATTAAAGGCTCCCTCCCCTCCCCTCCCCTCCTCTCAAGCCAAACATGTTATTGCTCCATTTATTCCAAAATAATTGTTATTTTTTATTTTAAAATTTTCTTTGAAATTAAATTGTCGATTTTTCATTTTTCAATATAGACAAATATATATTTCTTTCCCTACTATTACCCTATATTTATCTTTCTACTTTAATTATTATTCTATCAAAAAAAGTCTTTTTCTATCATTTATTCTTTTTTAGGATAATATAAGTAAATACATAAATTGTTTCCAAATTCTTAATTTGGAGAAAAAATAAAAAAATAATAATTATCTTGGGACAGCTGAAAGATATTGAGTGACTTTCATAATATGATTAATTAAAGTAAATGGACAATAATATGGTTAAAATATGAAAAAAAATAGTTTTCTCTGCCTTAAAAAAAATGATGAAACGGTGACTAATTTAGAACCAATTTAAAGTAAAAAAAAGTAGTAGTTATTTTGGAACAAATTGAGTAATTATTGTTTCTTACCATAAAAATTTTATTCCATTTACCTCAAAATAATTGTTGTATTTCTTTTATTTTTTTTCCCATATTAACATCAGGAAACAATTTTTGTGTTTATCTACATTACTTTTAAAAATTAGATAGAAGATAATGTTTTTTGTAGGAAGAATAATTAGAGTAGGTGGATAATTATAGCATTAAAATAAGAAAAAAATATTGTTTACCTTAAAAATATGAAAAGAGTAACAATTAAATTGGGGGCAAATTCAAAGTAAAAAAATATGACAGTGACTAGTATATATTTTAGTTCAATATATTAAACAAAATACTCATCAAAAGATCATTAATTTTTTGCTTGAAAATTATAGGTAAATCAATTTAAAGATGCAATCATGTATATAATATATAAGAATTGACTAAATTAATTATACTTATATTATATTTTAATATTTGAAACGATTTCAATATTAGAAAATATGTTAAACTCCCAATCATTTTCCAAAAAATAAATAAGTTGCAATTTTAAGGTACCTCGGTCCCACAAAATTTTAGCTAGGACTTCTGTTTGGGACTTCGTGGAAGTCACTAATGATATGATTAAACTTGGAGATTTAGAAAAGATTGGAACCATTTTTTGTTTAAATGAAACGTTGGGAAGATATCTAGTAGGACAAAGATTGATATATCTTCTATTTCAATATATTACATAATATTTATTAAAAAATTATTATTTGTTAGTTTGAAATTAAAAATAAACAAATTTAAAAATACAGTTATGCATATAAAATATAAGAATTAACTAAATTAAATATACTTATATTATATTTTAATGGGTAAACTAGATAGGTGTTGGAAAGTATTTTGAACCAAAAAGTACAACAATTATTTTCCTAGCTAGTATATATGATAAAGGTTGCGGATTAATTCAATATTTACCCCAAAAAATTATTTATGCGGTTTTAGATTAGAACAATTAAAAGAAAATGTAATGGAGGGAGTAATATTTACTAAATATAAAAACTAAAAATTAAAAACTAAAACTTAAAACTAATTTAGACCGGGGCTTAATTTTCTAAATTTATATGAGTATTTTAGTTATAAAATAAAACATTAATTGGCACACTCTTTAATTTAATATACTATATAATATATTCATTAAGAATTATTATTCTTTTGTATGAAATTAGAGACAGACTAAGTTAAAGATACAGTCATGTGTATACAATGCATAAACCAACTAAATCAACTTTATTTATGTTATGTTTTCATGTTTGAACTAAGCAAATATCAAAAAATGTGTCGAATTAAAGAGCATATTAATTATTTCTTATAAAAATATAAATATTGAATACAAATTTAAGAAAAGCAAAAGCTGAATGAGGGTAAAACTTCATTATAGGAGCCATATCCCATTTGTGACCTTACTGTTCAATGCTTTATGTGGTAATTAAGTGCTCTTTGCATTTTTAGCTGGGTAATCCCATTGATGCATTGATAGTTTAGGTTTTTGCCCAAGAACTGAAATGAGTGGCCAAAAATATAGCCTAATCAATGACAGTGCTACTCACAAATATAATAAAATTTCATATAACAATATCACCATTTGCTTTGAAAACCAAACTAAGACCAACTCAAAACCCAACAATTCAACAACCACTCAACATAACAATTAAACACATCTCATAGCAAAAAAAAAAACGAACACACCATCAAAGAACAGTACACTAAGCACAACTACATTCTATGAGATTAATTGAACCAAGGTTTCAATAACTATATATGTTCTATTTAAAAAAAAAAAAAATCACAAGAATATCTCACAAGAACTCTAAAACAAAAAAATTAATCCTATAGAAAGTGAGGCATCTACTTTTCCACAACAACAAAGTATATACATGCGGTGGAGCTTCTGCTTCATCTCTTTCAAGAGGAGGCATACGTGTTCCTGCCATATCAACAATACTGCATTCTCATATGTAGTTTTGCACAAAAAATCATTAGACATTGACAACATATATATCCACTTATAACTTGTGGAAGTGATATGGAGTACCATGCTAGGCTTTCCGTACTCGACAGAAACAACAGTCCAAGAGTCTATGAACGATGAAGTAACCAATGAAGAAAGCAGCATAGAGACCTCGGACAAATAGATACTTGAGTCCAAAAGGGATGAATAGCGGACTTGTGAACACTGTCAGCACAAGAATAGACAAGGCTTCCACGACAATCATGACAATAGCGTAAGTAGGACCAAATTTTTCCTTAATTCCTATCAACACAGCGAACCCAAAAGCAATGCAAATGGAGTATAGGGATGCCCCCACCAAAATTGACGCTTGCCAAACAAAGAAAGCAGAAAAATTGACATCAACAAGTTGGACCCAACATAAGGTGATGGCAGCGAAAACGGATAGGTTCATAGATAAAGAGTCGAAAAAGGTGAATATTTGTAAGTATGTTAACTCTAATTGATCAGCAATGAAACGTTTAAACCAAGTGGGTGCGGGGGATGTGGTTGGGGCTGAGGCTGAGGCTAGGAGCCCATTGCCGGTTTTAGAGCTTTTGCCCTTATCATCACCACTTTCGGGCATTTGAACAGCAGCTTGAAAGGCTATACCAGCGATAAGTGCTGCCACCACAAGAAGAGCATTGATCCTATCCTTGATATCCTCCTTATTTGCTCTCTTTATTTTCATTTCATGACGCAACCTTTTCATTCGATGTTGCTGACGACGACCACATAAGATTTTGAATACGTGTAATAAAAACAATATAGACAATGCCATCATCTGTACGAGCAACAATGAACAAGTTTTCTTAAGAAATTTGGCTTGCTAAGAATCATGTGAGATTTAAGATATATAAGCCTTTATTTACCACCATGCACTCTGATGATCAACCATAATATAAGGTTATGTTTGGTTTCATAAAATAGTTATTTCGTCGATATTTCATCATGATATAATAATCTTTTGAACAAAGAACTTTCTCATAATTAACTAATCTTACCGAGTCAGTTGAATCGGGTCGTTTTTTATTCTTTGAAGAGACATCTTCATGCTGCACATTTGTTTGGTCATTGGTTTGCATATTTCGTTGCCCCTATATTAAGAAAGATCGCATTCAATAAGTACACATATAAGATATTACCAAAAATACATATAGTAAGATCATATAACATCACAACAAATCCTAAATTTAAAATGGATTTTATATGTCAACTACGTAAAGTGTAAATGGATGGTGACACTTGAAACATCTTCAAATTTCAAACCCTACCTAAGTGCTTTGATCTTTGCTCTTAGGAAAATTAACTTTTCATAAATTCCTATGGTCTCTATGTAGATGGTTTGTTTTTAAATGAAATAAACAGATGCTTAACACAAAACATAAAAATAAAAACTAATTAATAAGATACCCTTTGTCTTCCAAAGTCCACTGGGTCCCCAGCTCGCTCCTTAGCAACTTCATAGGCTGTCAAGCCTTCTTGATTCAAAATTTGGGAGTTGCATTTCCTAGTCAACAATAGAGTACCCACAACTAGAGAATGACCATGCATGGCTGCTAAGTGCAAGGGTGTGTTTCCCTCAATGTCTTTGGCATTTACAAGTTTAGGCCCAAGTTTTTGATCTTTGACTATGCGCCTCACCATATAGTCTTGGCCGTTCTTGGCCGCAATGTGAAGAACATTTTGGCATTTGTTGTTGAGGTATTCTGATGTATCTGGCCACGAGCTGAACAACTTATTAAATGCTTTGACATAACCACTTTCACAGGCAACGTGAAGAGCATGGTGACCCTCATTGTCCCTTGCGTTAATTGCTTGAGGATAATTTTGTAACAGGAACTCAATTGCTCTCATGTTACCTACGGATGCTGCACAATGTAGCGCTTTTCGCCCGTTCCCATTTGTTGAGTCTATTAACTTTGGTCTTCTGTGTAGCATTTCACTCAACATATCTGAAATACATGGCAACATTTAGGAAAATGCCACAGAACAATCTTATGTGATAAACTAAAAAGCATCACAAAACTGTGCATGGCATCAAATATTATTTGTAAAAGTTAGTTATATCATTTTATATATCTATGAAAAGAAAAAATATGACAAGCCAAATGTAGATTTCTTAAAAGCAAATTTGTATCTTTTAGTATAGAAGAAGATTTTATTTATCGGAGCTGTTTGGTGGTTCTAACTCATACGACACTTTTAAATTCAAATTTTTTCTTAAACAAAATTTTAAATTTGTGAAAGAAGAATTTATTTAAAATACATAAATGAGCAAATAAAAGTTGTGTAAAATTTACCATTATTCTTAAAGTTCAACTTAATGGCAGCATGCACTGGAGACTTTCCTTCGGGTAGTTGTTGATAATCTGCAGCTACAGGCGAAGGATATTCCAACAGACACTGAACAATCTTCAAATTGGTGGTTTCAACAGCCAAGCATAGGGGAGATTTTCCCTCTTTGTTAGCAATGTAAGCTAGTCCAGGGTCTGAAGAAATCATCCTTGCTACCACAGCATGGTAACTCTCCCTTTCATCATTGTTGGCAGCAAATTTGTACTGGATCACAGCCTCGTGTAGAGCAGTGTTTCCTTCCAGGTTCTTCATCCTCGGTAGGGGAACACCGTCTGTCAAGCTTGATGTGGGATTAGTACAAAATCGGAGAAGAACTTCAGTTGTCTCTGCCTTTCCAGCTTTAGCAGCGGAATGAAGTGCAGTATCACCAACATAGTTTGTCCGAAGAATTAGGTGGGGAAACTTTTGAGCCAGATATTTGGTTATGTCTTGGCTACCAGAGCGTGCAGTTGCATGAAGGAGTGAGTTCCCACCGGGGCTCAATTGGTCAACAATGTCCAGTAATGGACATCCAGTTGAGTCTTGGACCTTTTTCAATTCTATTTCGAAGTCTTCGTGGCTAATAATGCTTTGTACAACTTCATATAGCGATCGTTGATCCACTCTAATCTCCACCATCTCCTTTGCCTTTTAGCAAAGGAAAAGAAGCAAAATTAGAAAAACTTAATTTTTGCATGGAAAATTAATAAGTTAATTAGGTTAGCTATATATAGCAAAAGGTTTAAAACTTAATTTAACTCATAATCAAAGTTTTTGAATTCTCAAAATTGCTTTTGAGCCTATGCTAGAGCTTATGATTAACTAGATAGATTTTTTTTGGAGAAATGTTGAATCATGATGTAAGATATATAATGCAATAGGGAAAAACTTACCAAAATATGTAAAGCCTTGTTAATTTAGCTGCGAACAGATAATGATGGAATAGAAGCACAAGTCTTCCCCTTTTATAACAAGTACAAATGGCATCCACAGTGAAGTGAAGCTTACTTCAAGTCACTAGGAGAAGTAATTCCTTGATGGAAAGCGAAAGAACCAAGTGTGGAAAACCCAAAAAAGCAAGATTTATACATGGCCCTTGTTCCATATTCCTTACTTCTCCATGAGCATGGGATTGATGCAGAATGACCATGGTAATATCTGATTTTGAAGCCACACATAAATTAAATTGCAATTGTCTGAGTTTCAATATTGAGGGTAGTTTCTGATATTCCTTTGATTTTTTTTTTTTTAATTAAGAGTGGTAAAAGAAACTTCACTATGTATTTTGAGCTATAATTTAGTGTAAAAGGAATTCCATGTATAGATTAATGGACCTTCTTATATTTTCCCTTTACATGTTAAATAATGAACGTGAATTGCATTGGCATCTAGCGAAGTGAGCTCTACTCCAAGCATTTTAGATAAGTTTGTGAAATCACGCAAAGGTGAAAAGGTGAAATTCAGCCCCTCTACTATAAGTGTTGTGGCCAATTAACCCCCTAACTAAGAAGTAGTGAAAATCAACCCCTCTAGTAGTCAAGACCTGCAGATGATCCCTTCTGTTAAGGATGACATAAAAAAATTATCTTTTCGTTCGACTCTCTATTGCTCCGTTGACTAAAGATGATGTGGTGCCGCTTCTTAGTTGACCTAGAGATGATATGGCAAACTTTTCTTCATTTTTTGTGATGTGGCCAATTTAAGGTTCAAAATTACCAATCAGTCCTCTTCTTCCTCTTTTCCATCCCTCTCCTTTCAATTTCTCCATGAACCGCGTTTGTGGTCCAGTAGTAAAGACTTAGTGGTATAGTAATTTGGTTATAGCTACAAGCTTAACCACTAACATTAATTTCTTGTCCCTTAAATATGTGGTTGTAATATATTTGTTTTGTTTAAAAAAATGTTGAATAATCAT